CCAGGGCACCTGAGGGCAGAACAAGAAGCAATGGGTGAAAACTAATCAAGGAGAGAAGCAACTTAGAACTGAGGAGGGATTTCTTGACAGTGAGAACAATTAACTAGGGGAACAGACGTTGCCTCCAGAACGTTGTGGGTGCTCCAACATTGGAGGTCTTCAAGAAGAGACTGATTTGTCTCACATGGTAGAGGGTTTCCTGCCTTAGCTGGGGTTGGACTAGAAGACCTCCAAGGCTCCTTCCACCTCTGTTGTTCTGCTGAAGACCCCGTGTCTCCCCTTCTCTTTGCCTGCAGTGCTCTCTGAACGGAAGACCTTCATGGTCCTGACTGGGGTGGCCTTCGCCTTGCTCTGCATAGCTGCTCTGGCCGGCCTGGTCTTCCTCCTGCAAACGAACGATTCCCGGTGAGACTCAACGGAGAAGTCCAGCGCTGGGTGGGGGAGGGGAGGGCCCCTCCCAAGCTTTCCCTTAGGCCAACAATCAGGTGAGCTCCACCCATAGAGGGAGTCCTCAGATTATGACCAGTTGACATGCTGTGGTCCATGGGGTGGTGAAGAGTCTTTCTTCTAGGGCAGGGGGTCTCCGGATTTGGCAACTTTAAGACTTGCAGACTTCAACTCGCAGGATTCCACATACCTCCTCCTCCTCCTCTTTCTTTTCCTCCTCCTCCTCTTCTCCTCCTCTTCCTCCTCCATTTTTTCTCCTCCTCTTCGTCCTCCTCTTTCTCTTCGTCCTCCTCTTCTCCTCCTCCTCCTCTTCCTCCTCCTCCTCCTCCTCCTATTCCTCCTCCTTCTCCTCTTCCTCCTCCTCTTCCTTCTTCTCGTTCTCCTCTTCCTCCTCCTCCTCTTCTTCCTCCTCCTCCTCCTCTTCCTCCTCTTCCTCCTTATCATTCTCCTCTTCCTCCTCCTCTTCTTCCTCTTCTTCCTCCTCTTCCTCCTCTTTCTCCTCCTCTTCTTCCTCCTCCATTTTTTCTCTTCTTTGTCCTCCTCCTCCTCCTTCTTCTCTTCCTCCTCCTCTTCTTTCTCCTCTTCTTCCTCCTCTTCCTCCTCCTCCTCTTTTTCTCCTCTTCCTCCTCCTTTTTCTCTTCCTCCTCCTCTTCTCCTCCTCTTCCTCCTCCTCCTCTTTTTCTCCTCTTCCTCCTCCTCCTCTTCCTCCTCCTCTTCTTCATCCTCTTCCTCTTCCTCCTCTTCTTCCTCTTCCTCCTCCCACAGTTCAACTCTAAGCTACAAATATTCTAAAATCTAAGTCGCGTGCTGGCTGGGGAACTCTGGGAGTTGAAGTCCACAATTCTTAAAGTTGCCAACTTTGGAGAGCCCTGCGTTAGCTGATCTGCTGTCCTGACCCACCCTTAGGGTTCTGTCATTCTAGCAGGATGAAACCATCCAGGTGGGTAGCTGGGTGAAATCCGAAGTTACAATCCCACCGATAATCTTTTTGCAGGATATTTCAAAAGTGCATCGGGTGGACGAAAGGGACGAGTAACAAGGAAGAAGTGCGGCAGGATGGAAACGCAGAGGAAGCCATTCAGGTCTGTCTGAGTGCTGGGAAGGAATCCTGCTTCCCGCTTGGATCTGGGAGAATCTCGTGACCAACGGAAGAAAGTTTCTTCTCGGTGTAGAAACAACAAAGCTGGAGGCAACTGTGCTTCAAAGAGAGAAGGCCAGTCGGAAGACAGTTGGCCAAGCTTTATAGAGTCCGTTTAATTTCTCCTAGCCTGTCCAGACAGGGATTTCAGAAGATCAGTTGCAACTTCCAACATCAGTGCGGTGGGGAGATGTTGAGGCCCCCAAGGTTGCTGTTTAGACCTAGGGATCTTGACCCAACAAAACACAGCCTCCTTGGAAAGCTGCTTTGGGCAGGAGAACATAAGGATACAAGGCCCCCAAAGAAGGAACTGGGTGGTCTTCAAAATTCATCCATGCATCCATCCATCAGCAGTTGCCTTAAGAAAGCTAGAAGTCCCCGCATATTCAGAACCAAGGAATAGGAATAACAATAACAATAGAATAGGAAGCGAAGAGAAGAGATATAGAATAGAATAGGAAGAGAAGAGATATAGAATAGGAAGAGAAGAGATATAGAATAGAATAGGAAGAGAAGAGATATAGAATAGGAAGAGAAGAGATATAGAATAGAATAGGAAAAGAAGAGAAGAGATATAGAATAGAATAGGAGAGAAGAGAAGAGATATAGAATAGAATAGGGAGAAGAGATATAGAATAGAATAGGAAGAGAAGAGAAGAAATATAGAATAGAATAGAATAGGAAGAGAAGAGAAATAGAATAGAATAGGAAGAGAAGAGAAGAGATATAGAATAGAATAGGAAGAGAAGAGATATAGAATAGGAAAAGAGGATATAGAATAGAATAGGAAAAGAAGAGAAGAGATATAGAATAGAATAGGAGAGAAGAGAAGAGATATAGAATAGAATAGGGAGAAGAGATATAGAATAGAATAGGAAGAGAAGAGAAGAAATATAGAATAGAATAGAATAGGAAGAGAAGAGAAATAGAATAGAATAGGAAGAGAAGAGAAGAGATATAGAATAGAATAGGAAGAGAAGAGATATAGAATAGGAAGAGAAGAGGATATAGAATAGAATAGGAAGAGAATAGAATAGAATAGAATAGAATAGGAAGAGAAGAGAAGAGGATATAGAATAGAATAGGAAGAGAAGAGAAGAGATATAGAATAGAATAGGAAGAGAAGAGATATAGAATAGGAAGAGAAGAGGATATAGAATAGAATAGGAAGAGAAGAGAAGAGATATAGAATAGAATAGGAAGAGAAGAGATAT